CCATTGTATGTATGTATGTGTGTGTGTGTGTGTGTGTGTGTATCACATCTTTATCCATTCATCCATCAATTGACATTTGGGCTCTTTCCATACTTTGGCTATTGTCGATAGCGCTGCTATAAACATTGGGGTGTATGTCCCCCTTCAAGACAACACATCTGTATCCCTTGGATAAATACCTAATAGTGCAATTGCTGGATCATAGGGTAGTTCTATTTTTAGTTTGAGGAACCTCCATACTGTTTTCCAGAGTGGCTATACCAGTTTTGCATTCCCACCAGCAGTGCTGAAGAGATCCTTTTTCTCTGCATCCTCTCTAACATCTGTTGTTGCCTGATTGTTAATTTTAGCCATTCTGACTGTTGTGAGTTGGTTTCTCATTGTGGTTTTAATTTGTTCTCTGATGATGAGTGATGTTGCACATCTTTACATGTGTCAGCCATCTGGATGTCTTTTTTGGAGAAGTGTCTATTCATGTCTTTTGCCCATTTCTTCACTGGATTATTTGTTTTTTGGGTGTTGAGTTTGATAAGTTCTTTATAGATATTGGAACTTTTTTTTGATAAATAGTAATCATGGGTATTTTTCTATGTTAGCACATTTAGATCCATTCTTTTTTTTTTAAGTTTTATTTTATTTTATTTACTTAGAGAGAGAGAGAGAGAGAGAGAGAGAGAGAATCCCAAGCAGGCTCTGCGCTCAAACCCACAAACCATGAGATTAGTACCTGAGCCAAAGTCGGCTGCTCAACTGACTGAGCCCCCCCCCCGACGTCCCCCCCCTTTTTTTCTTAATTTTTTAAACGTTTATTTATATTTGAGAGAGTGCGTGAGCAGGGGAGGGGCAGAGAGAGGGAGACACAGAATCTGAAGCAGGCTCCAGACTCTGAGCTGTCAACACAGAGCCCTGTGCCCGACGTGGGGCTTGAACTCACAAGCTGTGAGATCATGACTTGAGCCAAAGTCGGATGCTCAACCTACTGAGCCACCCAGGTGGCCCCCCTTGCTGAAGATTTTTAAAGCAAATCTTAAATATCACTTCACTCCTACTTCAGTATGCAACTCTAATATTTTAATTATGTTATTATTTAATAATATTCTGCTAATATTTTCTTATATAACTATAATTCCATTATCACCCCTAATAAAAAGAATAGTATTTTCTTGGCATCATCTGATATCCTCTACAGATTTGTCTCAGAAATGTCTTTTTTAAAAAAATAATGTCTGTGTAGTTGGTTGTTTGACAAAGACCCAGACAAGAAGTATACCTTTGGTTGTTAAGTCTTTTATGTCTCTCTTGTAATCCCCTCTCCAATTTTTAGGACATTGGCTTGGCTGGAAAAACTAGGTCAGGTGTCCTGTGGAATGTCTCACATTCTGTATTTCTCAACTTGTCATATTGTAACTTGTTCTTTTAGTGTCATTTAATTTCTTTATCCCTTGCATTTCTGTAAATGGAAGTTACCTCTAGAGCTGTGCTGTCTAGTCCTAGCCATGTTAGTAACCACTAATGGATTTTAAATTAAAGCATTTGAATTTAAATACAGTTAAAAATTCAGTTTCTCATTGCACTGGCCGTATTTCAGGTCTTCAGGAGCCACATGCAGAACACTTCTGTCATTACAGAAAGTGTTGTTGGACAGTGCTGATCTAGAGGCTTATTAATGAATTCAGGTTCAATATTTTTGATGAGAATACTTCACAGGTGGTGCTGTGTTGCTTTGTATCTGTCACATCAGAAGACACATGTCTGGTTGTCCCACTTTTAATAATTTGTTGAGATTGAGAAGGTAATGGTCAGCCTGACCCCTTATTGTAAAGCTTGCCATGTTTAGTATGAATAAAGACAGTTTTTCTTCTTCTTTTGAAATCTCCAGTCTTTCTTTTTCTTGACTTACTACATTGGTTTAAACTTTTGATAAAATTGTTGAATAGGAATGTTGAGTTAATATTCTTGCTTTGTTCCCAGTTTTAGGGATTAAGTTATTCAGTCTTTGATCATTAAGTATGATATTAGTATAGTTTTTCATAGATGTCCTTTATCAGATTAAGATTAGTCTTGCTTTTTGAGTCTTTTTTTTATAAATTTTTTTTTATGTTTGTTTTTGAGACAGAGAGCATGAACGGGGGAGGGGCAGAGAGAGAGGGAGACACAGAATCTGAAAGAGGCTCCAAGCTCCGAGCTGTCAGCACAGAGCCTGACACGGGGCTTGAACTCACAAACTGTGAGATCATGACCTGAGCTGAGATCAAGAGTTGGATGCTTAACCGACTGAGCCACCCAGGGTGCCTCTCTATTTTTTAAGTTTATACTACTCCATAATACTATGAAGGTATACTACTTTATTTTTGAGAGATAGAAACAGAGTGCAAGTGGGGTAAGGGCAGAGAGAGACGGAGACACAGAATGCAAAGGAGGCTCCAGGCTCTGAGCTGTCAGCACAGAGTGGTGCTCAAACCCACAAACAAGATCATGACCTGAGCCGAAGTCGGACGCTCAACCGACTGAGCTGCCCCGGCGCCCCTTGAGTCTTTTTATGATGAATTATGTATTGAATTTTGCCATGTTTTTCTGTATTAAGATAGTTACATGGTTTTCTCTTTTATTCTGTTAATGTGATGAATACTACTGGTTTTTATTGAATGTTATACCTTACATTCCTGGGACATGTTTTAAATTCATATTCCCTCCACATTTTTCTTCTAGTTTCTTAGTAAAAAAAAAATATTATATACATCACTATCAGTTTAGCTTGGAAATCTCATAGGGCACAGTATTTTTACTATGCTGAAAGAAATCTTAAACTCTGAACAAAATTACTAGATTTTTAGGCATGTAGTTTTAAGTTTTTCAGTTTAGAAATTGCTTCACATTATGAGGGAATAAATTTCTTCAGGCATTTTCTTTTCCTTTTCTAGTTAGCGGATTCGTTCTGTCATGGTATGCCTTGGGAGAAGGATGGCAGATATGGTGTGGGGCCCATCAGTCAGTTGCAGTGCTATCCAGAATGATTAACTTCGTTTGTGTAGAATAAGTTTCCTAGCTGGTTGCTGTAGGATTGTAGATTATGACTGAGCTTAGCCAAGCCATCAATTTGCAGGTACATTGGTAAATGAATAAATTTCAGACCTTTTTAAACACGACTTTATCTTAACTAGAATTTTGTCTCTTGATTCAGATACTAAAATATTTAGGTTACATTAGTAAACTATCTTTGGTTGTCCGATCACATAGCTATTAAATGAGCAGAAGAGAATTGGCTCTTAGGAATCTTTCTGCAGTTCTTAGTTTTAGGTCACTCAACAAAGTATTTTTTATTTTTTTTTTGTTAAAAAAATTTTTTTTAATGTTTATTTTTGAGAGAGTACAAGCGGGTGAGGGGCAGAGAGAGACACAGAATGTGAACCAGGCTCCAGGCTCTGAGCTGTCAGTACAGAGCCAAATGCGGGGCTCAAAGCCACAAACCATGAGATCATGTCCTGAGCTGAAGTTGGATGCTCAACCAACTGAGTCACCCAGGTGCCCCAAAGTATTTTTTTCCAATGTAAATTCAAATAATTTTACTTTTAGATTTATATGTAAAAAACAAATGATAATATGGAATGTTTAATAGTGTTTACTTGTGTACTTTGATGTAATAATGATACTATAAACATTAAACCTTTCTTTTAACTTTTTAGGCACAAAAATCTCAAGCCAAGAAATCCTGGACAACAAGGACAGGCACCAACTTTAAGTCAGCAACAACAAGTACTTCCTAAGCACAAGACCAATGAAAAACAAGAAAAGAGTGAAAAACCACAGAAACGCCCCTTGACTCCTTTTCACCATCGTGTTTCTATTAGTGATGATGTTGGCATCGATGCAGATTCAGCTAGCCAAAGACTTGTGATCTCCGCTCCAGATAGTCAAGTGAGATTTTCAAACATCCGAACTAATGATGTAGCAAAGACTCCGCAGATGCATGGCACCGAAATGGCAAATTCACCTCAACCACCCCCACTCAGTCCTCACCCATGTGATGTGGTTGATGAAGGAGTAACTAAAACACCTTCAACTCCTCAGAGTCAACATTTTTATCAAATGCCAACACCAGATCCCTTGGTTCCTTCTAAACCAATGGAAGATAGGATAGACAGTTTATCTCAGTCTTTCCCAACTCAGTTCCAGGAAGCTGTAGAACCTACAATATATGTCGGTACAGCAGTAAACTTGGAAGAAGATGAAGCTAATATAGCCTGGAAGTATTACAAGGTTCCAAAGAAAAAAGATGTAGAGTTTTTGCCTCCTCAGCTTCCAAGTGATAAATTCAAGGATGATCCAGTTGGACCTTTTGGACAGGAAAGTGTAACATCAGTTACAGAGTATGTATTTTTTTAATAGTCACTATTATAATTTAAGGGTGGAAATGATGTAAGTTCTTAATGCTAGGACTCCAGAATTGGCTTCAGGGTAGGATTTACAATAATAATAAATCCTGTAAATATTAGTTTTGCATAATTTCTTTACTGTGATTTTTCCTTAGGGAGACTCATTATTATGACATATTTTAGTCACAAAAAAGTGGAGAAAATAATAGCACTTATCCATCAAACAACTTAAAGATTTTGAATATCATTAGAACTCTTGTGTACTGTTTTTTTTCCTCCATTCTTCCTTCGTCTGTCCTAAATTTGGTGTTTATCATTTCTGTACATGTTTTTATACATGTAGCTCTAATTAATTCATTTTAATTGCTTTATAGTATTTGTTATGAATATACATAATTTACTCTCTTAAAGGAGGACATATTGGTTATTTCAGTTTTTTCCGGTTACATAGGATGTAATAGTGAACTTTTTTGTACACGTTTCCTTATGTACTTGTATAAGATTTCTCTAGGGAATACATCTCAAAGTGGAATTACTGGGCCATGGGGTTTGTCCACATTCGGCATTAAGAGTCATTGTCACTGGCTCTCCAACTATACCAGTTTACACCTTCATCAACCAGCAGAGTATGAGAATGATCTTTTCATCAGCATTTGGTATTACAAGCCTTCAGTTTAGCTAATTTTCTATATGCAGAATGGCATCTTATTGTCTTAATACATGTTTGAAAGTAAGCATTTATTTAAAATGTTCTTTGGACATTTAGGTTTTCTCTTCTGTGAATTGTTTGTATATCCTATCTTTTAGTCCCATTTTTCCCCCAATTCTTTGCAAGTTCTTGCTATAAATCTTCAAAAAAATTTTTTTAATTAAAAGCATCTTTAATGTTTATTTATTTCATTTTTAAAAAATATGTATTTATTTTTGAGAGACACAGTGTGAGCAGGGAGGATCTGAGAGAGAGGGAGACAGAAAATCCAAAGCAGACTTCCAGGCTCTGAGCGATCAGCACAGAGCCCACTGCAGGGCTCGAACTCATGAACTGTGAGATCATGACCTGAGCTAAAGTCAGACACTTAACCTACTGAGCCACCCAGGCACCCCCTGGCTATTAAGAAATAGTATCCCCTTCTTAATGTTCTGTACCTTTTTTTTTCTATAGAATTTATTTTCATCTTTTTCTTTACTGCTTCTCATCACATTTTTTTCATTTATTTTTTAATTAATTTTTTTTAACATTTATTTATTTTTGAGAAGCAGATAGAACAAGCAGGGGTGGGGCAGAAAGGGAGACACAGAATCTGAAGCAGGCTGTAGGCTCTGAGCTGTCAGCACAGAGCCCAGTGCAGGGCTTGAACCCACAAGCCGTGAGATCATGACTTGAGCCAAAGTCGGATGCTTAACTGACTGAGCCACCCAGGTGCCCCTCTTATCACATTTTTAAAATATAATTATTGTTTCTTCCTACACATTTTTGAATGAAGGAATAGGGGAGCTGATTGGTAGGCCTTACTCATTCAGTAAGTTATTTAGCTTATACTATGTATTAGTTTCATACACTGCTTTATGATAATGGGGTTGGGATATTTTGGAGGGGAGACCTGGTACCTAAAATTGCAGAATGAAGGGGATCTTGGGTCTTTACCAGGTAGGTTATTCATTTTTTTAGAAAAGAAACCCTGTTGTTCCTCCATTTTCAGCTCTAATTTTTCATTTCTGTCTAGAAATACAGGTTCATATTTTCTCTGAGTTTTTGGTCATTTTGGCTCTCTTGTTGTGGGTTACCATCACCCCCTCTTGCATATTCTAGGCCATGAACTTTCTCTGCTGTGTTTTATTGATTTTGAGTTTCCCTGAGACTAAGTAAAATGTCCCATTTGTAGCCTTTGTCTCCTTTTCCCTACTGTTAAAGATTTATTCTTTCAATATTCCTTGTTATTTTAGTAAACCTGTGCATCTTATCTAGCTCTTTGAATCTTAAAAATATTCTAGTATGGGTTTTGTTTTTTTTTTTTCAGTTAAAATTAATCTGGATTTGAAATTTAGGGACTTTAGGATACCTTTTGATCATGGAAAACAACCAGCTTATTTAACAGGCAGAAAGTCTCTTGAAAACAAATGATGTCTTGGAAACAAGTCTTAAAAAGATCTTAGTCTCATTTGTGCTGGATATAATATAAAAGTCCTGAGTACTTGCCCGAAACTACTTTTGGTCTCCTTGTTTCTGTACTTCTCCTTTACATATATTCCTACACAGTAGAGTGATCATTGTAGGTTAAATGTTAGATGTTACTCATTTGCTGAAAACCCTCCAGTAGTTTCCCTCTACATTTAAGATAAAATCCAAACTCTTTTTCCTCATCTGTAAGCTTCTACCCAGTTTCCTGTCTAGCTAGTTCTTCACTCTTACCTATTACTGCCCTGTTTGCTTTCTGATTTTGAGGCATCAGATTTTCTGGTTATTCCTTCAGAAAGCCAAGCTCGTTCCTTTTTTTTTTTTTAATTTTTTCTTAAAGTTTATTTATTTTTGAGAGAGACAGAGACAGAATGTGAGTGGGTTAGGGGCATAGAGAGAGGGAGACACAGAATCCGAAGCAGGCTCCAGGCTCTGAGCTGTCAGCACAGAGCCCGACGCGGGGCTCAAACCCACAAACTGTGAGATCATGACCTGAGCCAAAGTCAGACGCTCAACCTCAACCGACTGAGCCACCCAGGTGCCCCAAGCCAAGCTCATTCCTACTGGCCTTTAGTATTGTATTACAGATGCGGGGAATAGCTCACCCCTTCTTACTCAGTCCTGCTGAAAAGTTACCTTTTCAGGAGGTAGTTTCCTGACCATTTTATCTAAACTATGGCTTTTCTTCACTCCCCAAATCACTACCTACCTTGTACACGGTTTTCATTTTTTCCTTGTATATATCATCCAAAATCATATCATGAATTTGTTAATGATCTTTTCCCTATTAAAATACGAGCTCTGTGAAGGCAGGGGCTCTCTGTCTTGTTTACTGCTGTATTCCTCCAGATTACACACAAACATCCCTAGAACAAGTCTAGGCACATAGTGCACATTCAGTAGACGTTTGGATAAATTAAACAACAGTATATTCCTAGGGTTACTTTATGATTTTAGAACTTATTTTCCTTCTAGATTATATTTTCTTATTTAATATAAAAAATGTAGTGTTAAGGACGAAAAGTACTGTTAGGAATATTTTAAAAACTTAAGGGGTAAGTTTATGGGCATTTTGTATTCATATGATCAAGAATTCTAGCCATGACTTTAAATAAGTGTATTAGCTGATTGTATGCAGGAGCATCTGTAGGTGAAATGAAATGAAGGTCTCTTAGAAGTTTTAGGGGGTGCCTGGGTGGCTCAGTCAAACATCTGACTTCGGCTCAGGTCATGATAATCATGGTTCATGAGTTCAAGCCACGCATCAGGCTCTGTGCTGACAGCTCAGAGCCTGGAGCCTGCTTCGGATTCTAGGGCTCCCTCTCTCTCTGCCCCTCCCCTGCTTGTGCTCTTTCTCTTTCAAAAATAAACATTAAAAGAAAAAAAAAAGTTAATATAGTTGGGGTTGCCTGGGTGGCTCAGTTGGTTAAGTGTCCAACTTTGGTTCAGGTCATGACATCACAGGTTTGTGAGTTTGAGCCCTGCATTGGGCCCTTTACTGTCAGTTCAGGGCTCGCTTCTCTCTCTTTCTGCCCCTCCCTTACTTGTCTGTTCGTGTGTGGCACGCTCACTCTCAAAAATAAACAAACATTAAAAAAAATAAGTTAGTACAGTTTAACATTAGAATCTGTTTTGAAATTGTTTGACATTTTTCTCATGGAATAAGAATGAGAGGATACAAGTATAATGTAGAAAAGTAGCTGCAGAGTAGAATGGTGCTGGGTCGTGATTATTTAAATTAAGGAAATAACATGCTTCCACTTGTTCCTGGTCACCATTTTTTCTGCTTTGTGGAAAGAAAAGACTGAATAAAAGGGTGGTGTTTTTTTTTTTTTTTTTAATTCTGTGTCTTATGTGAGTATTGTTTTAGTTACATTAGTTACTAAAATGTGTATTATGTTACAATTTGCTTTTGCGTAGAATCCTTTTTTTATTTTAATAGATTAGAATATGGAAAAAAGTAAACAGGTTTAGCTGCTTGCTGTATGAACTAAAACATTTATGGAACATAATTGTTCTGTACTTGATAGAAGTTTTTTGGTTTTATGTTTTAATCACGTGAATATTTTGTCCTTGTAGTTCCTCTTGTATGGCAGTAGCTCTCAATTGGAGCAATTTCTTATTCCCTCACTCATACCTTCAGGTGACATTTGACAGCGTTAAGAGACAATCTAGATTGTCACAACAGGGAATGTGCTACTGGCATCTGGTAGGTAGAGTCCAGGGATGCCGCTAGATACCCTACAATATGTAGGACAGTCCTCCGCAACAAAGCCCAAAATGTTCATAGTGTTGAGGTGCCTTAATATCATGAATAACTTTTACAGAAATTTGAACTCTGGAATAAGTTATTAAATTAGATAGGCCAAACATGTTTACTGATTAGTTTTACTAGGGAGATCCCCCATACTATTTTACTATACAGTAAAATACCTGGTGTGGGCTTCAGTGTTTGCATTATGCTAACAAAAGTTTTGTTTTGTTTTGTTTTTCATAGTTAAAAGGATCTTATTTGGATAACTTAGTGATTCAGGTACCTACTATTAATATTACTTGAGATAGGATGTCGTGAGGATCATCACTCAGGTGATGTCTCCTGTCATTAAAATAAATTCTATGAATTAATACTCTTCTCGATGACATTTAAACACCTGTCTTGAATTCTTTTTTTTTTAATTTTTTTTTTTTTTAATGTTTATTTATTTTTGAAGGAGAGACAGAGCACTACCAGGGGAGGGTCAGAGAAAGAGGGAGACACAGAATCTGAAGCAGGCTCCAGGTTCTGAGCTGTCAGCACAAAGCCTTACACAGGGCTCGAACTCACAAACTGTGAGATCGTGACCTGTGCCCAAGTCAGACGTTCAACTGACTGAGCCACCCAGGCAACCCTTGTCTTAAATTCTTTATAGAAGCGTTGTCTAGGTTTAAAGATATAATATGATCAAACCTTTTCTAGTCAGAGTAGTCCAGTCAGAAGCCTAGATTGCTTTATATAATAAATTTCTGAATTCATATTACTAGGTAAATTCATATTACTGAATTCATATTACTATGTAAACCTGGTAAATTTCTATTCTTTTTCCATACTCTGAGTTTTGAAAGTATTTAAATATATGGCGGTTAATTAGGGGGCTGTTGCAACTCCTGCATTCTTTTGCCCTTTGGAACATTATCTTTTTAAATTCATATTCTTCAAATATCTGTTTCATCAGTTTGAATAAAACTGAAGTTTCTCTAATATGCAGGATGCTGTAAAGCACTGTTGGAGTAAAAAATAAATTTGGTCCTGGCCCTAAACGAAATTGTAATCCAATGGAAACTAACATTCTCTAATAGAAGCATACATAAAAGATATTAGGGATGGTGAGCCAGAGTGAAGAATAATTTAATTCCATTTATGAAGATCCAGAAGTTTTATGTACTTTGGTATGGATAGATTATATGGTGTTGCTTAGTAGTTTGCTATGTCATGATGAGAAATGAGACCTGAAAAGGGAGGTGGGGCTATATAATGGAATAAATTATATAAAATACTATTTATAAAAATACTGTTTATGAGTATGTATTTCCCTTGAGATGATAGGGGCACTGTTGTACTTTTTTTTTTTTTGAGGTAGATAAAATAATAGGGTTTTGGAAAATAAGGATTTTAGAAATATTAACCAAGTAATATTATTGAAAGATTATTTGAAATGAAGAGGTATATATGTATGAAAGGACATCAGTTTGGACTCTTGAATAGTTCAGATATAAGGTGATACAGGGCCCTAGGAAATTAGAGATCGTAGGGATGTATAGATTTTGTAAGTATAGAATAGACAAGAACTTTATGACCAGTTGAATAGTGCAGTGAGGTAGTAACAGGAGAGTTAAAGACCAGCATATTTATTTTATGAGGGAAAGAGGAGGAAAAACCGATTTGAAGACTTCTACCCTTTTACTCAGTTTACATTAAATTCAGATTTACATAATTTTTAAAATTTTTAACGTTTTTTATAATTTAGTTTTTATAATTTTTTTTAAAGTACAAGAAACTGTTAATCCCTGTTATCTTGAAGGAGAGGGATTGGGATATTTAGAAGTTTCAACTATGCCTTTGTTTATAATATGACTTTTATTTATTTTATTTTATTTTATTTTATGTTTTTAATGTGTATTTATTTTTGAGAGAGAGAGAGAGGGAGGGAGAGATCGTGAGCGGGGGAGGGGCAGAGAGACAGAATCTGAAGCAGGCTTCACGCTCTGAGCTGTCAGCACAGAGCCCGACGCGGGTCTTGAGCTCACAGACTGCGAGATCATGACGAGAGTCGAAGTCGGACGCTCAACCGACTGAGCCACCCAGGAGCCCCAGTGTACAATAATGACTTTTAAATATGTGCTTGTAATACATACGCATTGTAAATTAAAAAAAAAACTTTTTTTTAACATTCATTTTTGAGAGTGAGAGAGACAGAGCGTGAGTGGAGGAGGGGCAGAGAGAGAGGGAGACACAGAATCCAAAGCAGGCTCCAGGCTCTGAGCTGTCAGCACAGAGTCTGACGTGGGGCTTGAACTCACGGACAGTGAGATCATGACCTAAGCTGAAGTCAGATGCTTAACTGACTGAGCCATCCAGGCACCCCATTTAATTTTTTTAGTTTATTCATTTATTTTGAAAGAGAGTGTGAGCAGGGTGGTGGGGGAGAGAGAATCCCAAGCAGGCTCCTCACTGTCATCTTAGAGCATGATGAGGGCCTCGAACTCATGAGCTGAAATCAATAATCAGACAGGAGTCAAATGCTCAACCAGCTGAGCCACGTAGGCGTCCCTATGTTGTAAATTTGAATTTAGTGTGAGGAGCCTGCTGAAAGATTCTGTCAGACATTTGTGGCATTGTATCTGAAGCTTAGGAGAGGAAACTATTAACACAGTTGGAGTAATACATAATGCAAAGAGGGGCAAGAATCTTATCAGTAGAAATTTAAAAAGAAACATTTTTTTAATAAAAATTTTATAGGTGTGTACTTTTTTAGAATGATGGAGGAGAAATTTGTACGTTTGTTTTATTCACGTTAAGTGAAAATTCAATTTCCATTTGGTATAAATAAAGTTTTCCTTTGACTGCTGTTAAAGAGTGGCACTGTACTTCCATAATAGGTGGATAAACAAAAGAAAGCAGTATTCTTAGTTTTTCTAATTCTTAGTTTTAGATGGTGATGGCTTGCCTAACTAGTACAGAGTATTAGGATTCATCATTTCTAAACATCTCCCTTGTTCTTAGACTTCCATGTGCCTCAGTTGATGCCAGATTTTTCAGCAGCTACTTTAAAGCGAAATTCCTTTCTAATTTCTTAGAATTTAGTTTGGGGAGAGAGAGGTTGAGGTGGAGCATAGCATATCTTACATACCGGATATACACATCTGTGGCAGTCTTCTTTTTGCTTCTAATTATTTTTAGTTTCTTTATTGGTTAACGCTAGTATCTATTTTAGAATAGTGGCTTTTAAGACCTCATAAGCTTTTAGGGGTGCCTGGGTGACTCAGTCGGTTAAGCATCTGACTTTGGCTCAGGTAATGATCTTGTGGTTTGTGGGTTCAAGCCCCACATCAGACTCTGTGCTGATAGCTCAGAGTCTGGAGCCTACTTCAGTTTCTGTGTCCCTGTCTCTCTGCACCTCTCCTGCTGGCACTCCGATGTTCTCTTTCAAAAGTATAAATAAACATTAAAAAATTTTTTTAAACCTTGTAAGTTAAAAAAAAAAATAAACCTTGTAAGTGTTGAAGATAGCAAAATTTCTGCAAAGAAACATTACAGTTTTTTTAATATCATTTTCCAAGGGCTAGCACTTAGTTCTAGTAGTATTTTGATTGCTTAAAATAGTCTTCTATTTTGATTCAGAGGGAGACATTTCTAAACCCCAAGCAGAGAAAGAACTATACTGGAGCATAGTTTTATCATGTCTTGTTCTATAGCAAGGCTACATCTGGATATCTTAACCATAGAATTCATCAATAGAATTAGCTCCTATGTTGCATTAGGGGTATACCTGACATTTATATTGTATATTTCATACAGTTACAGAGTGCATTATCTGATCTCTAAAAGATAGTTTCTATTTTGTTTCATAGGAGTCTATGATGAAATAAACTTGTTTTGGTTTATTGTAATCTAAATATTTTAAGTAAGTCTTACTTGATATCTTAATACAATAAAGCTATTCTTCTTACAGTTAGCTTGACTCAGTTTAAGGATTGATGCTGAATAGTGGGCGTGGTACCAGAAAAGGTACTGTTAAAGAAAATAGAGGATTTTTGATATTTATTATATTCATTTGTTCCTTAACATTTCCTTCTATAGCTTATCTCCTTCTATAATTGTCAATCCTAAAATACTGTCGTTTCTTGTCTGGAAGAATTTTTATTGAATAAAGGCCTAAAAGCATGTGCTACTCCAAGCCATGTTAAATTCTCTACAAGTATATTTCAGGATAGAATGTTACTGTTGTCATAATAAAAGGAAAGAGATACACTTAATGAATAATATAAACGTAATTTCAGTTTGCTTTGGTCTTTGCAAAGCTTCCTGTTCATTACTGTACCTAATCCTCTTCCAGTTTGTCTGTATTTAGCTCTATATCTGATTGAAACTATCTCTGTAGTTCGACTATATGTGAAAAGTTTCTTTTAGAAAAGGAGGGGTTATTCCTGTTTCACAGAAATATATATATACTATATGATGATAATGATGAAATAACTGAGTAATCTGACATCTTTTAAAAATCACAATTTTTTCTACTCTTATCAATTTTAAATATAGAAAGATGTGTAATGTAAATATATTTTAAAATATGTTGTGACTTGATACTCATGATATTATTGACTACATTTAAATTCATTGCATATCCCAATGTCTGTGAGAACCATTCAATAAAATAACAAGTTGTCTTTAGGCACCGCATTTGGTTTACTCATTTTTATTCTTAATAGAGCCCTGTGCAGGAGCATTGGTCCTTTTAATGTAACTGCACACTAGTTTAACTACTTGTGTAAACAGTGTGGCAGTTTTCCTGCTTCTGCCAGAGGACAACTTAATATGAGAAACAGTTGTTTTATTCACCTCTACACAGAGTAGTAGTGTCTTTCAGGTTGGTGGTGGGGAGGAGGAGTGGGATCTTAACACTTTTCTCCTATGAATAGTTACTTGAATATGCATACTTAAAATCTTTCCAGCCTTAACTTTGTTACTATGTTACCTTAGCAAACCATTTCTTTCTACATAATTTGCACATCAAAATCAGCATACTCTGCATTTTCCGTCTTATAAGATTAATTATAAGTAGTGAATAAGAAAACATGTCAAAGTAGATAGCAAACTACTTTGGAGAGACTTATGTTAGCACCTAATAGTTGAGCAAACAGTTTTGGTCTAAGATGGTAAGATACAATGCTACTCTTTAAGAAATACCTATTCATTCATTTATAGAAGTATTCTAACAATTTTAAAACATACTCCTGTTAACTAGTTAGCACCATGTTCAAATGGAAGAAAGTTTTTGTAGACCTGGGATTTTAGTTTTGGGGATAAATCTGGGGCATATTGGGAATAACAATGACATGGTATTTAATAGCATGCTTAGAAAATATCAGTTATTATTTTTTTATGGCCTCTGTTTCACCCTTAGTTTATAGTGTATATGGAGTACTTATAGTGCTGGGCATCTTAAATAGATTGAAAGTTATGATATCCTTCCATTCAAAGATTTTATAAGCTAACAAATACCTTCACCTTCATTGTTCCCAAATCTTACATCTCTTATAATTTTTTGTCTTAAATTGTAGGACAGATAAGTGGCAGCAGTATCACTTTCTGATGAATGAAGATGGTTTATTTCCAAGTACAAGATACTGTATTTTAGAATTATTAATGCATCCACAACGTCTCAATCCTATGTGGTTTTTCGATTTCATGTATTCATTTAAGAAATATTTATTGAGTACCTTCTACTTGCCAGGCACTGTTCTAGGCATTTGGGATAATTCAATGAACAAAGACAAGATCCCTGTCATTTAGGGTCTTATATTCTAGTGAGAGTGACAGTCAACTATTAATATAAGCAAGTTATATAGATTTTAAAAGATAAGTGCTATGGAGGGAAAAATAGAGCAGGGTGAGGGGGATCAGTGTTGAAGTAGTTGGGCATTTTGCAATTTTAAATAAGGTCTCCTACATAAGGTGACATTTAAACAAAGTCTTTTAGAAAGTGAAGGAGTTGGCCATGCAGATACTTGGAGAAAGAATGCTCCAAACAAAGGGAACAGTCAGGAGTGTGTCTGGCCTGTTTGAGGAACATGAAGGAAGGTCTTGGAAGCAGAGTTGAGAGAGGCAGGAGTAGAATAACCAGATGAAGTTGGTTGGAGAGGCAAAGAGGAGAAAGGTCAAGGAAAGCTTTGGTAGGATATTACAAGGGGTTTGGTTTTTATTCAGAGTGAAATAGTCCTTGCAGGATTTTTACCCTGGTCTGAGTAGAAGCCTAGCTACTTCTTTCTGGCAGCATGGGAATCTCCACTTTACAAACTATAGAGAACATGAATTTGGGAGTTAGAAAGTGTCTTCTACAAACCAAAATCATCATTCAGTGTTCACACTCACCAAGTACCCTGGTCTTCAGAGATAGAAAAGTCTTGATGCTTTCTGGGATTCTGGTGGTGCAAATCAGCTGTGGCTTCTTGCTCTTACCCTTTGATTTTAGCTTTCTCTGATCTGACAGTTTCTACTTGTTTGTCTTTCTAACTTCAGTGTTGTCTCCTCTCTTGTTTTGTTTTATTGATTCTAGTCACCATGTGAAAGCATAAGACTGATGATATAAAAATAGATTTTTCTAATCTGATCAGATAAAAACTTTGAGGTACTTGAGCTGAAACTTCACTTGCCATTATAAAACCTCTTGCCAGAATTAATAAGTTATAGTGTTCATGAAACACAAATTAGGTCCTTATAATTTTATAACCTTATCCACTCATGTCAATAGGAAAAGGGTAATCACTTCCATTGTATAAATTGTATAAAACTAGTCTTGCCTCAGCACATAGCCCACAATTTTGAGAGTTCCTGTCCTGGAGCAATTTTGATGTAAGAGTCCCTTTCAAAAAAAAAAAAAAAAAAAAAAAAAAAAGTTCCTTTCAGTGAATAGACTTGGACAAGTTAATGCATGTAAGGAATTGGGAACAGAGTGGACATATTTTGGTGGAAAGAACATATAGATAGGAGACCTAGATTTTAGCTTCATTTCTTGATTGCTAAACTTGAGGCTTTAATAAATCATGTAACCTCTCAATGCCTTAATTTCCTCATTCGTAATATGAAGGATTACAGTTTAGATCATCTCTAAATAATCATGAAAACTTGATGATTCTTAAGTCATTGGAATTTTTTTGCTTTTATGGAAAATTAAATATAATTTTCTAATTTTGTTTTTTTTTTTTT